TCACTTTCATGTAGAGATTGGCGGCCCTCTCATAGTTACCACTTTTCTCGTAAAGCAGTGCTGCGTCTGAATACAGTTTCATTGAGTCCAATATTGTGGCGCATTCTTCCACAAGAACTTTATTATGCGAGAGTTGGGACACGAATTCAATTCCTCGTCGAGTATTACCGCAACGAATGGCATTCCTAGCGATTCCTGCTTTGCATAACTCATTGTGACTCTTAAGGTCGTCTTCACTGAGAGAAGTAGTGCTCAGATCTTCGTCGCCAATCAAACCCTTTTCATAGTTGTCGAGAGCACTCGTATAGTCGCCGGTGAACTCCAATTGGACGGCATATTCGCGGGAAATGATTGGGATCTGATTGGGAGCCAACCGTTTGGCCAAAGTTAGCGCTTCACTCCATTGCAACAGATTTTGTCTCATTTCCAACGCTTCCAGTGGTTGTGATGACGACAGGAACAAAGTCTGCGCCAAATCGTATCGATTGGAAGAGTTGGCCAAATGTCCGGCCAATAGATTCCGTTCTTCTATTAATTTCAGTTTTTCCAATGCATTCACAAAACCCGAGTTCTGGACGTGTCTGTAGATTCTTGTGGCCAACTCGATGTCCATATCATTAATGGCTGCCTTTCCAAATGAATCCCAGGCCTCACTATCGTTAAGATATTCACATATCTTCCATGAGTCCTGAAATCTGCGAAGTTTTAGTATATCCCGAAGAAGTTCTGTTTTGAGTCGAGTCTTGTCAGTCATTTTGTCTCCAAAATCATGGGTCGAGAGCACAAAATTAGATGTTTTACCGCTTTGGGTCTGACAGACAACCACTCCATTATAGAGGAGTAACGGGTACTGACCCGAAGGGATCTTCATTTTGCCCACATATTCAACAGTCGGCCCTTCAATCGTATCCCTGATGTGTATGAAGACGTACACAAACTTTGGATCGCAAGCTATAAAGACTCCCTTATCTAAGGGCCAACTCTCCCACAGAATTGTCTTAGCATTTGGAGGGAAGTCGTTGTGTGATAACTGTGTCATTACGTCTGTGACTGAATTATAAATGAAAGCATCGTTTCGGTCGTCAATAATAGCGACACGAATGCCGCTAACATTAGCCGAAATCATTTTAATGCCAGTCGTGTGTCGATAGACACCAACCATCACCCAGTCCTCTAACATGAAGAACTCAATTGAGCCCAAATCGGTGGCGAAAATGAGGAAATCGTTAGTCAAACAAAGTGTGGTCACTTTTCCGTTGCCGACAGAACTTCCGGCGCCGTCCGGAAACGACTTGAGATCGCGGCTCTCGTAGTCATTGGAATTGAGTTCGTTTTCAATGAGATGCAAATGAATGGTCCCATTCGTGAAGAGGGCGGCCGCGTAATCGCCGTTCAGTTTGAGACACTTTACGATTCCCACGTACTCTCGCTCTCTAAGCAGTTCCGTGGACTCACTTCCCGTCAGATTGTAAAACCAAACCCTGTTATTCATGGCGACCGCCGCGTGATAGGGACCCACAGCTACTAACGAGGGCTCCACGTCTATGCGTAATATAATCACTGAATCGGACAGGTCTTCCTGAACGTTGAATACCGTCACTTCCAGTAGTGATGACAGGAATGCCAGTCTAGTCCCAAATGAATCGCCTAATATTGTAAGCTTTGATAAATACACGTGAATTGTTCCCGAAGGAGACACCATCGCCAACAACTGTCCGTCATCTGACCACTCCATCCATTCTATTGCCGGCTCGTCATCAATGGTCAGTACAGACTGGATATCATTCAAATCCATTAAATCACAGACTTTTAGACTATTGTGTAAAATAATTAAGAATTAAATTTACATTCAACTCAACAGAGATAGAAAAACTAACTTATTTTCAGAACAAGAGACAAGTTTTTTAGTATTCATACAAATACTGAATGTTGTGAGAGGTTCCTTGTGGGCCTTAAATTGGCTCAACTCCTGTCCGATCTCTTTATAATAAGTGGAGACAACGATGAATATACCAGAAGTGAATCCAATCAAAATCATTCCGTCTCCAAACCACTGATAGTCCACAATAAAGCCATACCTCTCTTGAAATGTGAGTTGAATTGGATTTTCGGAATCCGACAAATTCAGTAAAAATAGTTGTTTTTTGTTTAGTATAAGACTAACGCAGTTCTGGTGTGTGTTCTGTGGCCTGTCGTCTAACTTCATGAATGCAAACTGAACGCTAACCCCTTCCCCCTTCAGTGTATTAATGGCCACATTATCGCCCACTTCGTTGCTCACCGTTAGGACCCGGTCCTCGCCTACCAGTGCCAACAGATTGTTGTCACTCCAGGCGCCACTAATTATCTTTTTAGTGTGTTTCCCATAAATAGGTAGTTTTCGGGCAGTTCTGTGATTATAAATGAGAAGATTTCCTTTAGTAGTTCCGACCGCCAGAAGCGGTGCCGAAGTCTTAGCCCATAATATGAGTGATAAGACATCTCTGACTCCGGTGTCGACCTGTTGGACGTGATGTGTGTTTGCGTCCCAAAGCACTACAGACGGCGATCGGTCTGTTATGATGCCCAACAGATCCCCCTCTGAATCCCAGGCGACACCATTGCAATACCTGACCCATCAGTTGATTATACAGTACATGTATCCCTGGTTTTACATTACAAAGCATTGCACGCATACATACCCCGGAAGATTGACCTGATCCACTTTCTCCCCGTGTCTATGAAAAATGGATATAACTATAATCATAACCACATATAGTTGGCAGTGAACTGACCGGTCGTATACATTGACAAAACTGTCTAAACCTGTGGTCACCAAATAAGACGCGCTTCCCTTTTGCCACGTGAAGAATACTGATCCCACAGAATGAGAATTATTGCCGATCGAGAATATTCTCTAAAATATAAAGTATATTAAAGTTTATTTCTAATTAATGTTTTAGAATATTCTTACTTTCATTTTTGTAAATCAATTATAAATGACTTAAATTATGTGATTATTTTTGGAAAAATAAATTCCTTAAAATAAAAGCACACAATTCTGTGCAATCGTATTTCTATGGTTACACTTATTAATCAAATTCATAACAAACTTTTAAAAACACGCAATGAATGCACAGAAAAGTCAGTTCATATGTTATGAATCTGTTTGTAAAGCAATGATTAAAATGTGTTCAAAACACAGTCATATTAATTGTGCCTAAAAAATGTGATTAAAACATACGAAACATTCGTTGAATAGATAGCGGATTCTGTAATAAATCAAATAGTGATGAGGGGAATGGCATGTAATATGAGGGATAGGGTATTTTAACTGTCAGGATGGCCGAGCGGTCTAAGGCGCCAGACTCAAGGGATATGCCCTTCACTTGTATAGCAAGTGCGCTGAGCGTTCTGGTCCACGAATGTGGGCGTGGGTTCGAATCCCACTTCTGACATACCTTTTTGCCATACATTACCGTACAAACACACATACCCTCTCGCTATTTCACACTTTTTTCGTGTATACTTATGCGAGACATGAATTCAAATTGAAATTTAAACACTTGAGGCAATTAAAGGCAAATATATTTTGTTATTAACAATAAATTGATTGTAAATACAGATTCAAATGAATTGAAAAAACTTTGATAACAATATAAATATGTTTTTTTTTGGAGATAATGAACGGCCAGTGAATGGTGTCATTGAGTGGTGGGAGTGAGTGAGTGATCGGTGGAAGTGAGTGAGTGATCGGTGGTGTCTTGTGGTGCGTGTGGTTCGAGGAAAACCCTTTTCATGACTAACTTGTGCTCACATTTGGCCACATATTCAAGCGATAGCTTCGAGTCGTTGTCATCGGCGGTGGTGTTGCTCTCATGGCTGTGACTCTTCTTCGCGCTGTTCTTCACCTCAAACAACACATTAGTTCCCAAAGTGTTGTGCAGTTGTCCGCTGAAGAATGTGTTGCCATTGGTCTGGAGTATCACTTCATTGGTGTCTAATCCCAAGAATTTCATGCAATTGTTGTTCACTAACTGGCAGTCAATCGGAGCGCAAAACTCTTGTTGTGCAGTTGTCCGCTGAAGAATGTGTTGCCATTGGTCTGGAGTATCACTTCATTGGTGTCTAATCCCAAGAATTTCATGCAATTGTTGTTCACTAACTGGCAGTCAATCGGAGCGCAAAACTCTATACAAACGCTCTCTTCGGTCACCACATCGCCGGCACTGGCCTTAGGGTTGGATCCCATGGATGTGCCCTTCGATGACATGTCTTCACGTGCTCTCAATTGTCGTGCATTTGTTGCATTCAATTGTCACCATAAAAGACAACAGAGTTTGCCATCAAATGCTTGTCATTCGCGTCCAACAGATGTCTCCTGTGTTTAGACTTTTGTTCATTCAATGCATTCATGAATTGAATTGAATTTTATTTTCAATTGCTTTTACAGTAGTATTATAATTGTTTTTATTAATTAAATCAAATGTTAATAATTTTACACTAAATACTTGTTAATACAGCCATTTTATGCAATCATTTTAATATTTATACAGTAATTTCTTTGCGAAATAATATAGCATTTAATGTAATTATTTGAGTAATTTTCTGTACTTAAGATTTTATGCACAGAATATTCTGTGGAATCAAAACCATTGAGTCAAATATTGCTATTTTTCTGACACTTTAATCACTAGTCTATGAATGGGTATGGCTTCGGAAAGGCATTGTTTGTGAATAATTAAATTAGTGGTGAATTGAAGTCATATTGGAATCAAAACCATTGAGTCAAATATTGCTATTTTTCTGACACTTTAATCACTAGTCTATGAATGGGTATGGCTTCGGAAAGGCATTGTTTGTGAATAATTAAATTAGTGGTGAATTGAAGTCATATATGAATCTTATAATCACATGAAGTAATGATTGCGAGCCATCACTGCATTCAAAACGAGTCTAATTTGTTTGTATGGAGTGATTAAGACATCACGAGTTGAGTTCACTTCGCTTTTCATCAATTTATTTGTATTTCATGCGAAATATTCTGACATTTGAAAGCTTAAGGTTTACTGGCCTTCCCTTCCCTACCCGTGCCGTGGCTTGTGATCCAAAACAACCAAATTATCATTTCTTTCATTTATTTGAATTCCAACTCTTTATTTGCCTTTCATTTCAATGAGAATTCCTTTTCGTTTATTTTATTTCTTTTTATATTTTCAATCTAATAATGATTTTTGGCAATAAAATTGACGCTTTTTATGACCATTCATGTGATATTCTAACTGATATGATATCATTGATATGTATAAGTATTA